GGGATCAGTGGGCAAATGCTCTACCAACTGAGCTACTGCCGCCCATCTGGGATACATCTATAATCGGCTAAATGACCTTAAAGTCTAAAAAATGTTATTAAATATTATTGTTTACAGCACCACATACAGGTGTGGCGTATGTATTACAGTGTTTTCACTCAGTGCTCCGTTGTCGTGTAGACGGGAATATTTATTAATCCGACACGCGTGGACACAATTTTTTTTTTCAACCCAAAAAAAAAAAAAAAAAAAGTCCAGGAGTGTGCAGGAGCCTTAGACCAATCTTGAGATCAGACGCAAGATCATTGTAAAGCTTTCAAAGAGTTCTTATCTCAAACCGCTGATTTGTAATGTCAGCAGTCTTTGTGTCGGGGCTCTGTTGAAAGCCTTATCTTTTACCGTTGCCACTTCCTCCCAGCTGCTGTTTGCATAATACCCAGTGTACTTTGAAAATAGTCCACTTTATAATAATTGTCTCACTCCCAGTTTCACTCAGGAGGAAACGGAAGTGCTCCTCCTTGTCCACATACCTGTTCCAGACTCATAATCATTTAATCGTCCTATATTACACAAAATTGACCCCTGTGAGCTTTAAGTCATGTTCTAAAGCTGTTCCCTCATCAAAAACATGTCTGCTGTTGGCTTTTGTTTCATTCACACATGTTTGAGTAACTCTGCATTATTAGTCTGTCTCCAGATGATTCTAGTGAAGGTGTATCGAGTTTAAAAACACTTCCTGAGCACTTCCCTATTACAACATGACATCACAAGGTAGAACACTTTGTTTGAGGAAAGAGCTCAGCCTAAATGTGCAGGTTTGTGTGTTTAACATGTGTGAATGGAACAAAACACAACTCCAGGTCTGTTTGTGATAAGGAAACTACATTAGAACATAGACAAGGAAATAGTGTAATACGAGGCCTTGTCACAGATTTTTCTTGTACCAGTGGTAAATATTTCTTGTAGTTTTACATCAGCTAAGTGGCAGAGGTTTGTGTTACGAAACATTAAGAAGAGTAAGTAGCAGTGAGTTCTAAAACAGAAGCCCTTCACCTGGCATCAACGCAGAAACTATTTATAAGCAAGTAAGGCATTTTTGAGGAAGTTTAAACCTTCATTCAACAAAATAAAGATGTGGTAATGTATTTGCATCCACCCTTGTACATATTTGAGTCGTTTTGGTTGTGGGTGCAGTGTTCGTTCACACTAATCCGAAGAACAACTACTCCAGAGACAGAACGATCTGGTGCCTCCAGTTTCCACGAATTCATCTGAGTACAGATCTGATCCAGTACTGTGTGGACGCCTGAAAACACTGATACTCTGACGTGATCCAATAAGGACACGACTAGAGTTCCTACATCACTGTGACTTGCACCTTCTTGATTCGCTGGGTTCATGACATCGGTCATGTGATGCTTTTGCGGAAAACAGTTTAAGCAATCCAATCTTAAAATCCAGTTACGTTCAGTAACAACTGAACCTTGTCATCTGTCCACAAAAAGACATTTTCACGCTTGTCATCTTCCTCGACCTGAAACTGGCTGCTGCAACTTCAGACATGGTGCTTCACTTCCTTGTTTTTACTGCCCACGTGACGATGTGACATCGTGACGCAAAAACTTGCATTATTACAGTGAGTGGGCTCACTTCTCCACAGATCTGACACGTAACTTGGCCCTGTGGCATCACCTGCTGTCTCCGTAGAGATAAAGAAGTGTAATGCCATACAGTGGAACATTTTAGAAAACATCTCCATAGAAAGAAGCAAGTGACGGACACTCCACCAGAAAAGTTATACAGTGCACCTTTAAATCTAATGACGTTCACTATGTTTTAATCAAATGAGTAGTCTAACTACTCTAAGTTATTTTGGAGCTATAACAACACCCAGAATTGAATAAATGCATCATACACTGTAAGAGTAATGCCATATTTTTGTAGTGTATAACACCACACTGCAAAAAGTAATATCTAGCTAAATTAAAAATTACTCAAATTAAGAACATTTGACTTTATTTAAGTAGATTCAACTTGACAAGTAAAAATATCTACAAATGGAATCAGATTTGATTTCTTATTTTAACTACAGAGTTGTTATTTTTCGTAAGTGTAGCCTAATGTGTTTTCATATTCATTTCATTCAGTACTAAAAGTCTTCATCTATTGGCAGATCATTATACTCGTCAAGTGAAATATACTGAAAACTTGACAAAACTTTCTTAATTCAAGTTATATGAACTTTTCTAGATTTGAGTTTTTGCAGTGTATATCACCACACTCCAAAAAGTAACATCTTGCTAAGTTAGAATGACTTAAACATTTGACTTTATTTGAGTAAATTCAACTTGACAAGTCAAACGATCAACCAGTGAAATAAGTGTGTTTTTCTTAATTCAAGCAACAGTCAGTTTAGTTTCTTATTTTGAGTGCAAAGAGTTGTTATTTTTCTTATGTTAAATGTATTTTCATATTTTAAGTACAAAACATTTTGATCCATTGGTAGATTATTTTACTTGTCAACTGAAATTTACTCAAAACTTGACAAAACTTTCTTAATTCAAGTTATATTAACTTGGCTAGATTTTAGTTTTTGCAGTGTACGTCACCACACTGCAAAAAATAACATTTAGGTAAGTTAAAATGACTTAAATTAAGAACATTCAACTTGACAAGTCAAATGATCCACCAGTGAAATAAGTGTGTTCTTAATTCAAGCAACATTATTTGTTATTATGTTAAATATATTTTCATATTTTAAGTACAAAACATCTTAATTCAAGTCATTTTAACTTGTCTAGAGTTTAGTTTTTGTAGTGTATAACAGCACACTGCAAAAAAGTATCTTTTAGGTGAAATAAAAAGACTTAACTGAACTTAACTTCACTTTATTTAAGTCAATTCAACTCGACAAGTGAAATAATCTGCCAATGGAGTTAGATTTGATTTCTTATTTTAAGTGCAAAGAGTTGTTATTTTTCTTGTCTTAAGTGTAGCCAGATGTGTTTTCATATTTTAAGTACAAAAAGTCTTCATCAACTAGTAGATCAATTTACTTATCGAGTGAAATTTACTCAAATCATCATCAAACTTTTTTTTAAAATTCAAGTTATATTAACTTGTCTAGATTTGAGTTTTTGCAGTGTACATCACCACACTGCAAAAAATAACAGCTAACTAAGTTAAAATGACTTAAATTAAGAACATTTGACTTTATGTGAGTAAATTCAACTTGACAAATAATAATAACATTATCTTCCAGTGGAATAAGTGTGTTTTTTCGTAATTCACATTTAAACTCATTAAACTCAATGTTAAATGTATTTTCATATTTTAATTACAAAAAGTCTTGTTCTATTTACTCATCATGATAAAACTTTCTTATCTTGGCTGGAGTTTAGTTTTTTGCAGTGTGGGTTTCACACAGATAACAACATTCTATAAACCAGTACAATGTAATACGCTACAAAAATGAAAATCTTGCAAAGTCAAGATGAGTTTCAGAAAATATTATTCTGATCTGAGTAAATTTCATATGATAAGTAAAATGATCCACCAATGGAACAAGTGTTTTTGGAGACCAAACCAGACCAAGTTACAGGTCAGATCTGTGGAGAGGCGTCCCCGCTCACAGTCAGAATGCCTCTTTTTCTAGTTTTTTTTTTAGCTGTAAAACCACCTCTAATTGAATAAATATAAAATAAATGTAGATCTGATTAATGTCACACTGTGGAACATTCCAGACAGAGAAATGACCTTCCACCAGAAAAGTTACACAATGCACCTTTAAATATGAGTTTTTGCAGCGTACAGATGTGGGGCAGTTGAAATGGATGTTGTTAAAATGCAGATTGTCACTGGTACACAGCAAAAACTGGAGGGTTAAAATATTTCAGAGTTGTTTCTAACACAAAAAGTTTTATTTTAACTCTTTGAAAGTTAAATGGGGGTTGGAGTTGGGGTTATTTGCCAGAGCTGATATGGCTGAAGTTAATTTAGTTTCCTCTAGTGTTAATTCAGCTTTCACTAGTGTTAATTTGGCTCTTCCCACCACTTCTAACTCCCGTGAGAGAAGACCAGTATGAACCAGTTTTGTTGATAATTTCATCTTAAATTAACTCAAAATAAAGTGTAAAAATAAAACTCCTTTGTGTGTTGTTTAGTTAAATCAGGATAACTCTACAAAGTTTTATCAATTTACTCTCAAAACATTCATATAATTCAAATGAAATTTACTCAAAACTTGACAAAACTTTCTTAATTCAAGTTATATTAACTTGGTTAAATTGTAGTTTTTGCAGTGTATATAACCACACTGCAAAAAGTAACATCTAGCTAAGTTAAAATTACTTAAATTTAGAACATTTGACTTTATTTGAGTAAATTCAACTTGACAAGTCGAATGATCCTATAGTGAAATAAATGTGTTCTTTTTAATTCAAGTTAAATTTAATTCAAGTCAAGTTTAATTCAACAGTCAATTTAGTTTATTATTTTGAGTGCAAAGAGTTGTTATTTTTCTTATGTTAAATTTTTTTATAATTTAAGTATAAAACATTTCGATCCATTAGTAGATCATTTAGTTGTCTTGACAAGATTATAATTCTTGATTTCAGGTCAAACAGGTATTTTGGTCCAGTTTTACTTCATGAACATTTCCAAAAAAGTTAAATTAACTCTAGGACAGATTGGAGTTATATAAACCCTGAGAAAATGTTCAAAATGATTCTGTGAGAGTCAGTTTTAACACTGTGTAAATATTACTTATTAAAGTTGCACTATGTAACTTTCGGGTTGGGGGTCCGTCACCTGTTTCATTGGATACGTCACTGCTCTGCCACAAATGTTCTAACGTGCAGCATTAAACAGCTCTACCTTACTTGTTTGTTTGTTTGTTGTTTTTTCAATTACAGCTCTTAAGAAATGCAATGGTTCAACAATTACACAACTGACCAATGTTATGCACAAGAGTGACACATGAAAAAGTCAAACGCACTCACCTTTTGTGTGTTTAAGGGTCAGTGGATGACAGCTCTGCAGTTTTAGGTTGTGTGAAAAAGAATGTCTGAAGAGCACTTAAATAGGAAGTGACAAACCCCAGTGGACAAACCCCAAGTCGACTTGTAAATGAAGTGTGAAAAAAAGACATCTTTTTGAGCAGTACTCTGACCGCCTTTGTATTGCAGAAGTAAGCCTGTTTGAAAAGCAAGGAGTGGTTTTTAACATCTTTTAACCATTTCTCATACCAAAGTCGAGGCTTTTTATAGTGTTGGTATAAAACTGTGTGAATATTGAAATGTGTTGATGCGTAATACTGACATCTACTTGTTCATTTACTATACACACCTTTGGACATGAGTTTTGTGCACACTTCCTGTTTCTTCATCAAAATAAAGCCTTCATTCACACATTTAACACACAAACCCTGTATGTTTAGGCTACGTTCTTCACTCAAACAGAAACACTTGGTGCCATCTTGTGATGTCATGCGGTAATACAGGAAGTGCTCGATTGTTTTTGAGATCCACCTTCACTAGAATCGTTTGGATCATTTCAGTCGTGGAATTGCCGATCTCCACTGAATTAAAGGTAAAATTTTGTGATGTTGAGATGAAGCCCCATGAAGCACTGCAATCTGTAGTGGAATACATTTTAAAAGTAACCACTGTTGGGAAAGGTTACTTTTAAAATGTATTCCCCTACAGATTACAGATTACATATCCCAAAATGTAGTTTCTAACATAATCCTTTAAATTACTTAAAGTGAGTAACGTAATCTGAATACTTTGGATTAATTGATATTGTCGTGCTTTTTTAAAACGACGTGAATGTAACAACCACATCCTGAAAATGTGAAAAAATTCTTGTTTGTTCTCTTCAAATTGTCTGTTGAGCCCAAGTCTCCATGAATAAGCAACTGTTTACTGTAAACCTTCCTCAACGATGAGGAAATCTGAACATAAGATGTTTTATCTGCTAAAAGACAATAAAAAGCCCAGTCTTTCCTTAAACATATTAAAAATATTATTGTTAGAAAAAGTGCTTTCTATATGAGATCACCTTAAATTATGTCCACCTACTGTTAGTGTCATATTGTTTATACCTGGTTTTAGTCCCGGTTTAGTCCTGGTTTAGTGCTGGTTTAGTCCTGGTTTAGAATAAATTAAATAAATGAGATGTAGCACAAAATGTGAAAACAGGAAAATACCACCATGTAATCCATTTATTTCAGCAAAGTAACTGTAATCCAATTACCACTCACTGAAACAGTAACTGTAACTGAATACAGTTACTCATAATTTGTACTCTGATTACGTAACTCCGGTACATGTAATCTGTTACTCCCCAACACTGAAAATAACCTTCCCAACACTGTTCAAGGTGCTTCATTTGCTCCACTGCTCCATCAAGTGGCCAAAAAATGTATAACAGGCAGAGTGATAATAGAACAACAACATGATGGTCGTGGTTCTGAAGTGTGGTGAGATAGATGATCATGTGGTACTATAAATATCAGAGGGGAACCAGGTGACTTCCTCTTCCTGAGCAGGCTTAACACACGGCTAGTTCTGGGTTTTAACTAGTGAAGAATATATCAAGTAATAAAGTATCGTGCGTATATTAAATACTGAAATTATATATTTATTTGAATATTACACAATGAATTAATGCGGTAACACTTTATAATAACTACACCTTATTTAGCCTTAATAAAGCATGAACAAAGACTTAATTAATAATGAACAAAGACTTAATTAATAATGATTCACACTTAGTAACTACTTAATTACTGCCTTAATACACGCATCAAGAATCTCGGACTTCCGGTCATTGCGCAATGCATACTGGGAAGGATTTTCCGATTGTTTTCCCAGTGGGATGTGTCTAATGTCAAAGTCGATCTTTTCAAGTCTTTTGAACCATATCACTTTTGTTTCTGGTTCTGATATTGTCATATTTTAGTTTTGGGATTCGGACATCGTTAATTGTGTGGTTATTGGATCCTAACAGTGGAAAACGGCTCGAGAAATTGGTTTGCGAACTCCACAAATGCAAAAGGGAATCAGATGTGTGTGACTCAAACCTCTGTTCAAACTGTTTCTCTTCCCATCGGAATTGAAAAATAGTGAAAGGCGAAGGCGATGGGCAGGATTGATCCACGGGAAGGACGGAAAAGGTCATCTTTGACTGCTTAAATCATCCCGAGTTTGCAGCGAACATTTGGTATGTGGAGCGCCATTTCATCTGTGCGCTGTGAAAGGTTTTTGGGAAATTCTGTGCAAAAAAAAAGAAACCATCTGAGTCCAAATACTGTGGAGAAATATATATTTTTTAAATAAAAATAAATAAAATGACCCTATTTTGCCATCCTTATTGTGGCATAAGTACAACCATAAAGTAGTAACATGAGCACAGTCACATTACATCCTGATCTCCAATTTGTTCCTACTTTTTCTTTTAACCCGACCATTATATCATGAACAGAGACTCCATGTTCATAAAATCACAATTTATGTTGATATCACAAACATTCAAATATTCCATCCATCCATTTTCTTCCGCTTATCCGAGGCCGGGTCGCGGGGGCAGCAGCCGAGGTGTTCCCAGGCCAGCCCAGAGACATAGTCCCTCCAGCGTGTCCTGGGTCTTCCCCGGGGCCTCCTCCCGGTGGGACATGCCCGGAACACCTCCCGAGGGAGACACCCAGGAGGCATCCAGAACAGATGCCTGAACCACCTCAACTGCTCCTCTCGACGTGGAGGAGCAGCGGCTCTACTCCGAGCTCCTCCCATGTGACTGAGCTCCTCACCCTATCTCTAAGGGAGCACCCAGCCACCCTGCGGAGGAAACTCATTTCGAGCGCTTGTATCCACAATCTTGTCCTTTCAAATATTCAAATATATTAAATAAATATTCAAATATTTAATCATTCATTTGTTCAATATAAATCTTTCCATCAGAACCACGATGATCATGTTGATTGTCTCTCTGCCTGTTATACATTTTTTGTCCACTTGTTGGTGCAGTGGAGCAAATGAAGCACCTTGAAGCATCGCCTCAGGAGATGAGCAAATAGATGGAATGCTTCAGTGCTTCATGGGGCTTCATCTCACCATCACTACCTGTACATTCCAGGTGTTACATTTGGTGTTACTGGCAGGATTGAGCAGTCAGTGTGTGGCTGATTTTTATTTTTTTTTTCTTTAGTTTTGGTTACTTATATATATATATAAAAAAAAAAAAGGCAACCAGCACTGACCCTCTGATCTGGACTGTGAAAACCCAGAAATAGCTGTTTGTTAGGTCTGCTCAGGAAGAGGAAGACACCTGGTGCCCCTCTGACCTTTATAGTCTCTGCCATGTGACACAGCTGCCACAGATGGAAAGATTCATACTGAACAAATGAATGATTAAATATTTGAATGTTTGTGATTTCAACATAAATTGTGATTTTATTAACATGGAGTCTGTGTTCATGATATAAAGGTCGGGTTAAAACAAAAAGTAAACACTTCACCTGATTTATTTTTTTTTTACAAGAAATATATTAGAGCAGGGGAAACACTGTGTTATCAAATGTGTGTATTTAGTAATATTGTTTGTTTAATGATGTCATTATTACTATATTCTTTATCAGGAGATATCAGCTCAAAATGTTCCCAAACAGGGGAAAATATTCTGTTTCTTGCTCAATCACAAAAAAAAAAAAAGAAAAAAAAAAGTCAAATAAAATGTACCAAACTCACAATAACCCAACACCACAAAACATGAGGGTGAGTCCGTTGCTTTTCTTTGTCTCTTATGTTTCGAATCACGCGCCAAATCCGCAAACCACTTCCTGAAGCAGTCATGTGGTATGGGCGGTTCACGAGGCTTTGAACGTCACCACATACGTCACTGATACAAACCTCGATACGCTTCACCAAAGACTTTCAGGATTACCCGGCGCACGCTTCAACGCCTCGACACAGACGCCACATCACTAGTAAAAGGAGCTGCTCACTTGAAAATGATTTCAAAGCTTCATGACATCACAAGGTGGAGCAGAGCATTTTGAGCTTTGGAGATGTAGACAGACTAATAATAAAGAGTTACTCAAACATGTGAATGAAACAGAACACATGTCCAGGTCTGTTTTTGAGAATGGAACAACATAATAACATGGTTTAATGTTCACAAGAGCCAGTTCTGTGTCATATAGAACCTTTAGTAAGACACATATAATGCAAAATTGACTTTGCTGAGCTTTTAAAAGGTGCACTGTGCAACTTTTCTGATGGACATGTTTGTCTTCATGGAGATGCTGTTGCTTTGCCTGGAATGTGGAATTATATCTTAGGAAATGAGAAGTCTATGTGTTATTTGTTCATTTAAGACAGTAAAGAAGGGGTGGGCTTAAATACGTATTTACATTCTCCTCGTTTTCGGACACAAGGAAAATCTGCGTGACATTTACTTTTGTTTATTGTATTGAAAAGAAGTTAGTTTTTTTTTTTTTTTGTATTTGTCTGTGTATTGACATTTTCTATGCATTACTGTCCGAATAAACATTCATTCATTCAATGTTCCGTGGTCACTGTTGGGCAAGTGACTTTAAACTGTAATGTGTTATTTATGACTTGTTATTGTCATTTCAAAGTCATTTGTTACATTACAATATTTAATTTAAATTGTAAAACATTTAAAATGTATTTAAAATGTAAAATATTACATGACTATTACAGCACTTATTGAATTTTCACTTATTGAATTACTGAATTTCTGCACCGTATATGGACCAGGACTAAACCAGGACTGAACCAAAACTGAACCAGAGCTGAACCTGGACTGAACCAGAACTAAACCAGAACTAAAACAGGACTAAACCAGGTCTAAACCAGAGCTGAACCAAGACTAAACCAGGTCTAAACCAGGGCTAATCTTGGACTAGAACTTGGAAACTAGGACCGCCCCTGAGAGAACCCCGAGTCCGTGGAGCAGGCTGTCTGCAAGGCCCGATCAGGAGTCAGCTGCTCTTCGCCCTGTGGAGTGTGGAGTTCTGCGTCGGTCCTTTTGCTCGTGGTCACCTGACGGTCTACACGGGCGCATCTGTTACGATTCACCACTGCTGATATCACGGTAATTTTGGCGAATTTGTATGAAGAAAAACCCACCACTTTTA